ATCATCACCATCATCATCATCATCATCATCATCATCATCATCATCATCAGCAGCATCATCATCATCACCATCATCCGATTCCTCGTGCTTCGTGCACCCTCCTCGTTCCTCCTTCTCCTCTCTCATCTCCCTCCCTTTCCCTTCTCCACCTTCTTTCCTCCCCCGACCTCCTGCTCCGCGTCCTCCTCCTCCTCCTCCTCCTCCTCCTCCTCCTCCCCCTCCTCCTCCTCCTCCTCCTCCTCCTCATCCTCCTCCACCTCTCTTGTTCCTTCCCTCTCCCCCGGAAGCTGGCGGGAGGCGCATACATCGGGTCCGATGCATGCCTGCCCCTAGCCTTCGAGCGTCGTGTGCGCTGTTGCGTTGGTCGCAGGCTGCCTTGGTAGACGTAAAAAGGAAGGAAGCTGCCGCTGTAGACAGGAAGAGGAAAAGGGAGCGGAGGCTGCCTCTGTAGACGAGGGGGTAAAGGGATGGCATACGAGGAGGAGGAGGAGCAGGAGGAGGAGGAGGAGGACGAGGAGGAGGGGGAGCATGAAGAAGAGGGGGAGTGAGCAGAGGAAGAGGAGGAGAGGCACTAGCAGGAGTGGGAGACCGAAGAGAACCAAGGTGGCGCCCGCGGCAACATAATCAATGGTGCCTAGCCGCGGCGCGACACGCGCGGGGCTGCCAGCTGTGGCGGTCTGTCTCTCACAATTGCCGTACTTGGTGTGCGCGTGGCGCTGGGGCGTCTGGGCGCGCGGGGGAGGGGCGCGGGCCCTGGGCCACCTCTGGTGGCCGGCACGCGCCAGGACGCGTTGAGGAAGTAGGTAGTTCGTGCGGTAGACGAGGTGGCCAGCCGTGCCACCGTGCGGGAAAGCCGTGCCCACACCGAGGCGGTGAGGTCAGCACGGGTGGGCGATGGAACGCAATGCCGCGCAGACGCTCCACCACTTCCCGCGGCAGCCGGAGAGGTAGCGTCGTTTGTTGTTGATGTCGCCAGCCCGCTCCTCACACCTCCTGCAACACAATCGGCACTCAGCGCCGTGCATGTGGGGCGACGTCTGCCACGCTCCAGCTAGAGTCGGGTAGGCTGCCCAGCAGGTGCAAGGAGCCGCACAAGTCAGCTGTCGTCATAACGCTGGCCGCATCCGCGCCGATTTCCTGGGTCCGCCCTGGATCCCCCTCCCTGGCGCCCGAAGCGCGCCAGGGGCGGCACCGAAGGCTCCGCCGGGGGCGGAGCCCCGTGTGGATCCGAGAAATCCGCGCGGAGCCTCGAAGGCTTTGGTTATGCCCTGGTCTCTTCTTGGAGTCCAAGCCGCGGAGAAGGCACTGGCTGCCGGGGTTCTCGCAGAAGTGGCCGCAGGCGTAGTGCTTCAGCCTGGGCCCGTCCGACAGGGCCGTGGCGGGCCACACGGACAGGAAGTGCCGCGGGCTGGCCGAGAAAGCAAACGTCCTTCGAGCACCATGCGGCGGGCGGCGGGAGTGGGAGGACCGCGCGGGGGAGAGGAGGGGAAGAGCAGGCTCAGAACATGCAGTCCTTGTGCGAGAGTGCCCGAGCGCGTGCACAGCGGGGAGATGGAAGTCCGTGTTGGAGCAAGCATCCAGAACACGACCCCGCTGCTATGGGCGCAGGTCCGAGGAGCAGCGCGTTGTGCAAGGCGGGCTGCTGGTCGGGCGACCCCGCGATGGCCAAGCTAAGAGGCGGCAGCGAGTGCCTCCACGAACGGCGCCGTGGCCAAGGCCCACGAGGCGCCCGTCAGAGTGAGGGCGACCATGGACGACACCCGTGGGCACCAAGGCCTGGTACACACGGGTGTCGTTGTCCACGTGTTCCTGCTGCTTGTGCCTGGTGACCAGGCGCAGGCAGAAGGAGCGCGACCCGATGCGCGCGTGCAACGGCGCTGCATGTAGGACTCTGGGATGCCAAGGCTGGCGCTGTGCCGCGAACAGCCTGGTCCACGCAAAGCTGGGGATGGCCGCGGCCGCGTCGAACGAGACGAAGCCCGGGCGGCGGCGGGCGAGGCACTCTGGGGAGTCGAGCGTGGCGACCCTCGCCTGGACATCGAGCCGCGACGCGTGCTCCAAGAAGTGCTCCGCCCTCCCCGACGAAGCCGCGCTGCGGGGCCGGCTCGGGCCGAGGGGCACCGCCTGGCCGACGCTGCCATCAGCTGCGCGTGGGAGCCTCGGGGCGCCCGTGGAAGGGTCCCTGGCATAGGGGAGCGGACAATGACAGAAACGTAACGACTGAGAGGTCCGCGCGGACTTCTCGGATCGGCGCTCGAGCCCCCTCCCTGGCGCGCGGAGCGCGCCAGGGGCGGCGCCGGAGGCGCCGCCAGGGGACCCCAGCGCCGATCCGAGAAATCCGCGCGTACCTCCGAGTTTTTGTGTTTATGCCATTGCTCGTTCCCCTATGGCAGGCCCCCGCGCCGCCCGCGCGGCAGACGGGGTGCCGTCCCTGTCGGCCGCGCCAATGGGAGCCACGACGATGGGCAAATTTTCCACCACCACTGCCACATGATGTAGGACGGGGGGGAAGGGATGATCAGGAGGTCCTCCTCCTCCTCCTCCTCCTCCTCCTCCTCCTCCTCCTCCTCTCCCCCTCCCCCTCCCCTCCCCCTCCCCCTCCTCCTCCTCCTCCTCCTCCTCCTCCTCCTCCTCCTCCTCCTCCTCCTCCTCCTCCTCCTCCTCCTCCTCCTCCTCCTCCTCCCGTATGGTAATGGTGGTGGAAAGTGGGCCCATCGCACGAGGCGTCCCGGCCCTGTGGAGCCCGCGCCCCGCTGGAGGCGGCGCGCAGGGCGGCGTGCGGGCGCCCTGGCGGCCGCCGGCAGCGCGCCCACGCGGCGTGAAGGCTGCCGTCGGGGCCAGGCGCCGCAGGGCGGGCGCGGCGGGGTGCCCTCTCCGCGTCCCCGGCAGGAGGCAGCAGCAAGGGGGAAGTGGCACTGTCGGCAATACCCATCGGTCGGAAGAATCAGGCAGAAGCATGAAGCAGGACGGCGTCGAACGCAGATCGGATTCCGTCCGCCCCGCTGGGCGGATGAAAAAGGTGACGCCACTCGATCATGAAGTAGGAAAGCGCTTGAAGTAGATTGGTATATGGGAATCCAAACATACCTGCGTTCTCTCAGCGACCGATGGGTAGTGGATCTCTTTTGGGAGAGATCTCCGCCGAAGGGGCCTCCTTGGCCGCGGAGCGCTGCTCCCCGGTGGGAGGGCGGGGCAGCGGCAAGAGGGCAAGAGGGGGGAGCTGAAGGGGGGGGCAGGATGCAGCGATGAGGGGGAGGACGGCGACGAGGAAGCACGGAGGAGGCATGAGGATCCGGAGGGGGAGGTGATGGAGGAGGAGGGAGGACCTCAGCTGCCCCGAGACGCAACACGCAACACGTACTGTAGCGCGTTGACACGGAGCTCAGCACGTAGACTGAAAACGTAAGTCTGGCACGTGAACCAACACGTACCGAACCGACACGCAGCGTCTTAACACGGGCGTGTTGAACACGGTGCGCGTTGCGTTTCAACATGGGCGTATCAGGGCAACTAAAACAATGAGAGATACCACAGTGTCCCCGTTGAGCTGGCATGCGGGAGGGATGGGGACGAAGGAAGGAGGAGAACTATGAACCCGCAGCTGGGAAGAAGAGGGACGGGCTGTGGGAGAAGAGCATCTGAGGAGGCAGGCGAGGCAGGGGGTGCAAGAACGAGCGGAAGAGGAAGAGCTGCCACCCCGCGCCCTCGCACTGGACGGCCGCCGGGCTCACCCGGGCAGCGTGCACGGCGGCCCTGGGCGACCTGGCAAAGAGCGCTCGCTGGGGGGATGGCCAGAGCTGCCGACTGTTGTCTCCTCCCCCTTCCGCCTGCAGGCCCAGAGGTGGATTTCCTCCCACTCACCAGAGCTGTGTCCGAAGAGGGCTGGGCCAGGATGCAAGGCGAGGCCATGTCAAGGAGGGTTCCCCTCCGGGCTGCCCTCTGGCAGCTGTCCCCGTAGCGCCCACTCCCCGCCCACTACGGCCCCTCGCGCGTCGAGCCCCGCGACGTGCGACGCGCGGCTCTCTTCGCACGCGCGAAGGGCCACTCTAGAGAAAGGCACCCTTGGCTTCGATTTCGCCTCTGCTCCTCAATCCTCCTCCTCCTCTTCCTCAATCCTCCTCCTCCTCCTCCTCCTCCTCCACATCCTCCTCCTCCTCAACCTCCTCGTTCCACCCCTGGGCGCCCGCGGGCGCCTCGTGCGCCGGGTGGGTGTGCCGAGGTTTCGACTGATGCCCGCCCGTGGGCGCTCGTGGGCGCCTCATGCGCTGGGCGGGTGCCTCGAGGATCCGCCTGGTGCTCGTGGGCGCCTCGTTCGCTGGGCCAGTGCGCCGAAATCTCGCCAGGTGCCCGTCCGTGGGCGCCTCGTGCGCTGGGTGGGTCGATGTTTCGCCTGGTGCCCGCCAGTGGGCGCCTCGTTGGCGCCTCCTGCTGCTCCTCCTCCTCCTCCTCCTCCTCCTCCTCCTCCTCCTCCTCCTCCTCCTCCTCCCCCTCCTCCCCCTCCTCCTCCTCCTCCCTCCTCCTCCTCTCCTCCTCCTCCTCCTCCTCCTCCTCCTCCTCCTCCTCCTCCTCCTTCCCCTCCCTTCTCCTCCTCTCCTCTTCCCCCTGCTCCTGCTCATCCTCTTCCTGTTCCCCCCCATCACCACCACAATCATCTTCCCCCCGACCCTCCCACCTTTCCTCCTCATTCTCTCCTCCTCTCTCCTCCTCCTCCTCCTCCTCCTCCTCCTCCTCCTCCCCTCCTCCTCCTCCCCCCGTCTTCCTCCTCCTGCTCCTCCTCGTCGTCTTCCTCCCCATCCCCTCCCTCCACCCTCCTTTCCCCCCTCCTCCAGTTACCTCCCCCCGCTCCCTGTCTTCCTTCTCCCCATCCTCCTCCTCCCAGTCCTTCCCCCCACCCCTTCCTCCTCGGACGGGGGGGGGGCGGCGGAGCGAAGGGGGTTCGCCAAGCGGACGCCCCCCACCCCCTCCACGAGCGTGGGCGGGGCCGGCCTGCAGGGGCGGCGTCACTCCTCCTGCAGCGCCGCCGCGGGCACGAAGATCGACCTCGGCCAGGCGTGCCTCCTCCTCCTCCTCTTCCCCGCGGAGAAGGAGGAGGAGAAGGAGGAGGAGGAGGAGGAGGAGGAGGAGGAGGAGTCCCCCCTCTGCCCCCTCTCTTCCCACAGTAGTCCTCGTGCCTCCCTTCTTCGACCCAGAGGCGCCTCCTCCGTATCTCTTCCCTCTCCTCCTCGGGCATCCTGCTGTTCCCTCCTTGTTTTCCAGCCGAAATCGTTCGATCCCCCTTGCTTGCCATTGCTTCGAATGGTATCGATCGTGTGATCTGCAGTGAGACCGACCGTGAGATCGATACTAAAGTCGTTGGTGAGGTCAAGAGTTCGCTTGTGAGATCGTGTGTGAGATGCTTCGTGAGATCGATAGTGAGATCGGTAGTGAGATCAATCGTGAGACCGATCGTGGAAGGGATATTGAGATCGATTCTTAGATATACAGTAATATCGATAGAGAGATCGATTGCGAGGTCGACCTAAAAGTTGCTAGTGCAATCGATAGTGAGATCGACCGTGATATCAGAAAAGGGTTCCATAGTGAGACCGATCGTGCGACCGAGAGTAAAATCGACGGTGAGGTCGCCAGTGATATCGATCGTGAGATCGACTATGATATCGATAGCGGGATACATCGTGAGATCGATAGCAGATCGATAGCGGGATACATCGTGAGATCGATCGTGAGATCGATAGTGATACCACTAACAAGGCGGATTGTGAGAGCGATTGTTGGGATCCACTGTGAGATCGATGGTGAGATCGATTGGGAGGTCGGTAGTGAGACCGATGGTGAGATCGATCGTGCGATCGCCTGTGGTACCAATTGTGATGCCGACCACTGCGTCTGAAGCGTCTTCAGCGCGCGTGCTGACGACATTGCCCCAACTCCTTGCCTCGGTCAACGGCTGGTACCTGGAGTTGAGGTTATACAGCAGGTCAAGCAGGCTGCAGGCCGCAAAATGCTGAGCAGATCTGAGCCCGGGCAGAAGGGCCCAATCAGTACACGGCTGCACGGCTGCACATAAATACAAGAGAACGATTGCTTCCCAAAGCACGAAATGCCGAGTGCAGCTGAACGGCCATGGTGACAACAGGGAAGCGGTGCTTGCGCGCCAAATGAAGAGCAAGGACCAGGCTTAGGCTGTCGTGAAAGGCCAAGATGTCTGGGAGGGCTGACGCGTGCGGGATCCTGAACTCGCACGCGCTGTCGCCCATCACAATTATTCTGAAGGCGACCTGGGCCGATGGGCTGCCTCGCACAGCGTCGTAAAACTTCGAGCGAGCGCGTTTCTCGGCTGCCCATTCGTCGGTGCAGCCATCGCGCAGCTGTTCCACGACACTAGATAACAGTGCAAACATGGCGATGCTGAGATGCTGCGTTCAGCTACGTCATCAAACCCTTCGTATCCAGGACCACCATCGCGCGCATAAGCCGCTGTAGCCAATCTGCTGCGCCATGCTGCTGAAGATCTTGAGGGTCTCTGGGCGACCAACAGAAAGGCATGCGCCCAATGTCGCTGGGGCCGATGTTGACGCAGCTCCGCCGTCTTGCTGAGCAGCTCGCCAAGATCCTGCGGGCGAAACTCGGAAAGGGGAGGACCATGTTACAACAGAGCGCGAAATGCGTGCAACACGTCGCTGAACTGTCGCTGGTGATTGCCATGTAGTCATTGATTCCTCCACACATGCGAGCGCCAAGCCACGTGCTCACGAAGAATTGTCGAACTTGCCATCGCCGAGCTGCTCCATCGTGTGGAACTCCGCCGGAACTCCGCCGACTGGGCGCATCAAACGCATGCTGGGCTGGAGGATAAACCAAGCAGCGAGCTGCCACAATGCGAGTCGCCCGCCCATGGTTATGTATGCACAGCTGCATCAGCGAGCGCATGCAGCTGCTCAACAGATGCCCCGCGCACACCTCGCAACGCCTCAACCCAGGACGCCCCGGCCTCCCTGGTGATGGAGGGCAAGGTCCACCTCGGGGCGCTCGGGATGCCAAGGTCGATCCTGGCGTGCTACTGCTGCTGTGCCCCTGGCTTGCCGCTCGGCCGTGCATGCCAACAGCTTGGGGCGCGAAGCCGAGTACCGACCACCAGTTGCGCGCTTGATGCTGACGGGTTCGGGGACGAAAGGCGGGAGCGTTGCTCCTGCCAGAACACTCAGCACGCTGGCCCTGCGGCACACTGCAGGCCTCGCGGCAACGCCTCTCCAGCTTCGAGGCCACTCTCGCGGAGAACAAGCGCCGGCGCCTCCGAAGCCTCGGGCAGCTCCCAAGAGTCCGATGATGTGGTGGAGATCCTCTGGGGCTTTAAGTCGGGCCTGTCCCCCCACACGGGGATTCTCGACGAAAAACAACAATGCCCCAACAATAATCAACAACTAGTCCAAGAATAGTTCGGGGACTATTTTTTGAATTTGTTTTTGCCTTTTGGGGGTATTTCTGGGGGTATGCTTTATC